GATTCGGTTAGGTAGGTTAGGTTAGGTATATTCGGTTAGTTAGGTTCGATTAGGTTGTTGGTCTGCGATGTGTTGGGTTGTTATGTTGTTTGGGTTGTTAGGTTGATGTCGTTTTCCTCTCCTCCTTCCTAACCTCTTGTCTTGAGAGTGTCTTGAGAGTGCGTTGAGAGTATCTTGAGAGTTTTGAAATATATCTCGATCGATTGCCATGTCGGGCATCCGTAACCAATCATATCGAGCGTTGCGTGCGTTGTACGACGGGCGCCATGGAGGGGCTCGGGCGCCGCGGCGGCTGCCGCCAGCGAGCGGAGAGGGTTCAGCAGGCCAGGGCCGCAGCGCTGCTGCAGAGTGCTGTGGCAAGTTTCCTGGTGCAGGAATGGGCGTGGGGCCGCGTGACGCCTCAGCAGTGCCAGAAGATTGCGACGCTGCTAAAGGCGGACCTAGAGGCGAGCGCGCTTGGCACGTTGGACGTGAGCACGGTGAATTTCTTGAAAGCGCTTGGCACTCCTGGGCGGAACCCGCAACATATGCATATGCAGCTCATGAATTCGGACCCTAACTCCAAGACCCGAATTTGGACCATGTGACCCTAGCCCTGACCATGAGACCTTAACCATGGGACCATCACCCAAACCCTGTGACCCGAACCGCAACGCCAAGACCGAACCCTACGACCCGAACCGTAACCCTAAGACCCTGGCGTTCACATTCTAGCCCTAACCTTAAGACCCTAGCCCTAACCTTAAAGACTCGAGCCTTGCCTCTAACGCTAACACTGATACCCTGACCCTAACAGCCCAACCCTAACCTCAACCCCGGGACCCCGACCCTCATGCCCTAACCCTCACCCAGGGCCCTCGACGCGAGTATTCAAACCCTAACTATAATACCCTAGCCGCATACCCTGACATAACGACCCGAACTCCGCCTTAACACCCTAGCCTTAGGACTCGAACCTCAATGCCATGCCCCCCCCCTACCCTAATACCACAATCCGAGCCGTCCGTAAGCCCCCAATCCAAATGCCCGAGCCCAAACCTTCACATCTGAGCCCTCAGACCTCTTTTATCCTGAGACCCGAACCCCAGTGGGGCCTTGCCCGAGCCCGAGCCGCGAGCGCAGCGCGGCGCGTGTGCTCGCGCGCGCGCCCTCTGCGCGCTTTCCCCTCAGTTCCTTTTGCTCCTCCGCGTCCCCCTCCTCATCAAGGCATGCACGGCATTTCCTGCTTACTGTGACCATGTCCACGCGCGGTCTCGGAGTCGCCTTCGTTCCAATTTTGCAGCGCACGTGCGTCGCTGGCCTGCAGTTCATCGACGCCTCGCCTTCTGCGGAAAGCGCACGCAGGATTGCGTGCGGGGACATGCCGATGGCCCGGATAAGGCCCAGGCGAATCCCAGCAGGGCCATCAGGCAGCATCCGCTCAAGATGGCCAACATCTCGAAGCGTAATCAACGCGCAGCCTGCACTGTGAGTAGAAGCGCTGGGTGCTTGCAGCTGGCACATCAGTGCGCAGTCACCTTGGCGCCAGGCTAATCAGCTGAAGACTACCATGAGGCACTTCAAGTTTTTGAATACACCAGCCTTCCAGCGGAGGCGGAGGCGATCGGAGACACCCCAATGGCAGAGGTATTCCTGGACATGTTCATTCCCTTTCCAAACGCCAAAGTCATCCTGGTCGTCCGCCCTGTCATGGAGTGGGTTGAGAAGCGTCTGGAGTTCGAGCCGGGCGCTCTTGCGCCACTCCAGCAGCCCTGCGGCGATTCCTCATTGTCGATGCAGCATATCACGGTTCCGCAGAGTGCAAGTTTAGAGGAGCTCATGAACGACTTGGTCACATGCGCGGTGCCAGATGGAGACCTGTTGGTTATCTCGCCGCGGGCGGGCGCGCCTGCCTGGATGGATGCGATCGCGGGCGAGATCGCGACCTGCGCGGGGCGCGCCAGTGAAAAACGCGAAACCTTCCCGAGCGCCACTCCTGCCCATCGAGGTTCCTATGGTGACTGCGCGGAGGCAAGTATCGCGGCGGCGGGCGTTTCGAACGCGCGCAGGAAGTGACGCGCGCAGCAGGTGATCTGAGCCATTGTCACCCCCGCCCGCCCTCCTCTTCCTACGCTGCAGCCGCCTCCAACGACCGACAAGTAGTAGCGCCCCGCGACGTGCCCGACCAAATTGCAGCGCGCGACGAGAGGGGTTGCCCCTAATTTGCATGGGTAGCAACAGCGCAGGCGCCGCTACGCGCGCTGCGCTGCACCGGCTGAAAGGGAACATGCGCGCGCGGCACGACTTACAGGACAAAGATAGGAGGGCGCGGAGTGAGGCCCCAGGCTCGAAGAAGCACGGAGGCGGGAACGAGGGGTAGGAGAAAAACGGGAGGAGGGCTGAAAAGCCAGCGCGGCAGTAGCAGCAGGGAGAAGGTGGCAGGGGGAAGACGACGACGACGAAAGGGGCGGGATGACGCGCCGCGGCGCTCCGAAGGATTAGGTCGGCGGGGAGGCCCGCTCAGCGACGACGCCCCCCGGCGACGCCTGTTTCCCCGGGCGCGCTCGCGTCTTGGCGGAAATCGCGACGGGAGGTTCGTGGCCGCTCGAGGCACGCGGGAGCTTTCTCCGGACTCCAGGACCGCCGGAAAACGATTCAAGATGAGAAACCGTTCCCCATGAACAGGCTGCCTCACGACCCGACGACCACGACCGCCCCCGACGACCAACGCCCCCGACGCCCTGCCCTGACCACGACCGCCCCCTCCCCCGTCCACGACGACGACCTCCTCCGTCCGCCCCCTCGTTCCTGCTTGCTCTGCGCTGCCTCTGCCGCTCCCCTCCCTCCTCAAGTCCTGTTCGGCGTTTGTTCGCAATGCTTTTTCTTCTTGCCCCTCCTCCTCCTCCTCCTCCTCCTTCCCTCTCTCCCTCTCGCCGGAGTCTGCGTGCCTCTCAGCGGGCGCTCCGGACGGGCGGCGCCTCCGGCGCCAGGCAGCCTATCGCCTCGTCGTGCGCTCGCCTGCTGCGCTTCTCGAGCGCCCGCGCCTCTCTTTGGGTGGCCAGGTGCGCGCATCAGTAGGAGCCGAATGCTCCAGAGACTTCCCAAGAGGGGCGGAGGCCACTTCGATGATGGAACGCTGGGCAGGTTGAGGATAGGTACCTGGAGACCCCTGGCCACGCTGACGTTGATGCTGATGACAATCCTCCTGATGCTTGCAGGCTGAGACAGACCTTCTGACCCAAATGTTGCAGGCTGCCTCATCGTCGAAGCAAAATGCAGACGGCCCACGGAGCTCGCCCGCCCGGGGCTCGCGCCCCGCCCCCCCGGGAGCCCGCCGAGAACCCGGCGGGCTCGCCGCGCTCGCGACTAGGGCTCGGCGACGCAGGATTCCGATACGGCCCCCTCCTCGCGCGCAGCCGGGGCATCCCCCTCACGCCCCTCCCCCTTCGTCGGCTCGCTCATCCCTGGGCGCCCTTAACCGCCAATTCTCTTAGTTTTTGCGATTCGACGTTGCTTCTCGGTTTTCTGGCGCGCGAGGTCGCCAGACGGTTTGGGCGCTCCGCAGATCCACGAGCCGCCTGCGACGAAGATCGTTGAGGACAGTTGCGACGCTTCTTGGGCGGCGTAGTCCGAATTTCCAGCTCGGGGAAAGTGTAGGCACGTGGCTTCGTTTCTTCCCGAAGCGCGTCGGACGCGCAAGCGCTTTCCCCCCGTTCCGTTTCCCCGCCCCTCCCCCCCGTCGCCCTCCCCTCCCGCTTCCTCGCAGTGTGGGGGGGTCCCCGTCGACTTCGGCAGACCTTTTGGCGGGCTCTTCCAAGTGTCTGGGCGGCGCGTCGGGACTCTCCGATCTGACTTGACCCGGCACAGGCGGCCGCACCAATTGCTGCGCCAGCCGTTCATCCAAATTCACTGGGCCCCAGAGAAGCGCGCCAGACTGCGCGCCGCGCTGGGCACTGTGCGAGCACCATGCCAGGCACCTTACTGGGCACCAGACTGGGAACCGCGTTGCGCCCACCAGACCATCCTAGTAGGCGCAGCCATCTTGGGCTCCTCCGGGACGGCTTGGGCAATCCATGGGCAATCCTGACAGGATTCACAAGCGGGGAGGGGAACACTAAGGTTTATTGGTCCCCTCCCTCCCTCCTCCTCCCCCGCTTCCTCCATGTTTCCCTCCTTTTCTTCCCCCCGCAGCGGCAGCTCGGCGGCGAAGCGCGGCGCTTGCCACCGCCCTCTCCTCCCCCGCCTCCTCGTCGTCCTCATCCCCTTCCTCTTCCTCGTCTTCCTCCTCCTCCTCCTCCTCCTCCTCTTTATCCCCTTCCTCTCGCGTTGGCAAAGCTGCTCCGTGTCCGAGCCCCCTCGGTCTGAATTATATCCGCTGTGGGTATTGTTGACCACTGCCGAAGGGGGCTTTCTGGTGATCTCTGATTATCTGCCATTGGCCAAGAACCCCCGCAAGTCGCCTGAGGCTATAGAGATGAGCAACGACAGCAACCTGGACTTGTGGACTCGCCTTTTGGACCGCCTCCAGACCCATTCAGGCCAGGTCGATTTCCGCTGGGCGGAAGTCCGCCCTTCCAGGGCACAATTAGATGGCATGCGCATCTCTTCGGCCGAGCTTCTTCTAAATGATGCTGCTGACCGACGTGCTCGACAAGGGGCCCGTAGTGGACAATTGGGGCCTGAGTTTCGGGAGGCTGTCCGTGCAGCCGATGAGCTGCAAGAGAGAATGTTGCTCCGTTTTGTGGTCATCCAGGGTGAGGTTGTCCTGACTTGTCAGCGTAATGCTGTCAACTCGAAAAGCCCAGCGTCGGCTCGGAAACGGCCAGGAGGAACCACTCGAGGCACGGCGGCGGCGGTTGCTGGCCGCAGGTCATGATTGTGTCGAGAAGAGTACGACGTTTAAGTGCAACCGCTGTTCTCGCATTTTTTCCCAGAAGGCACAGCTCTCTCAGTTTTGGCCTCGTGTTTATGTGCCCTTGTCGGAGTTCGCGCTGGTCCGAGGTGCGTGGGGGCCTCGCGACGACCCGCGAGGTGAGCTGACCCCCCCGCCGCTGGTCGTCGCTGACATCCAGGAGCGGCGTGAGCCAGCGGACCATCCTCTTCTTGGAAATCTGCATGCGTCACACGTGTTGAGTGCGTTGCGCGGCGTGTTGTGTTGCTCCTCACGTGGAAGTTTTGGGGTTGAGCAGTCGCGCAAGTTGGGTCGGCAGTGTAAGCGGCCCACTGCTAAAGGTAGTGAGGCCTTCTCACAATTGGCTTGTGGGCCCCCTCCTAAACGTGGCATGAACTTCCCAGTGCGAGGGCGAATCCCGCCCCAGCGCCCAGGCTCGCTTTTGGTCACCGTTTTCAGCGCACTCGCAATCGCAACGTCCAGCGGCGGCAGCTCGGCGGCGAAGCGCGGCGCCTGCCGCGGGGGCGCCGCCCCGGAGGTGGCCTGGACCTCCGCCACCTCCTCCTCCGCCACCTCCTCCCCCTCCCCCTCCTCCTCCTCCTCCTCCTCCTCCTCCTCCTCCTCCTCCTCCTCCTCCTCCTCCTCCTCCTCCTCCTCCTCCTCCTCCCCCTCCGCCGTGCGCACCGCGCGTGCGGTCCGCGTGGGGCACCACCCCGCTGGGCCGCCCAGCAGCCCTCGAAAATGACAGCTGCTTCGCATATCGCAGCCCCCTTCAGGCAGCCCCTGAGCAGGGCGGCAAGGCAGGAGGCAGGAGGCAGGAGGCAGGATGGAAGAGAAGGGGGGGAGGAGGCAGAAATGGAGGAGGAGTTGGAGGAGGAGGAGGAGGAGGAAAAGAGGAGGAGGAAAGAGGTCGCACTCGCAGCCGGCCGCCCAAGGATGGAGAGGTCACGTAGCGCAGCGCGGCAAGCGGCAGGCAGGAGGGCTTAGACGAGGAGGGGGCGGGAGGTAGGAGACGCGCAGATAATGGTTTAGTCAAAACGAGAACCCAACGCAGGAGGGTTGGGATCAAATCGAACAAACCTCCCTGGATCATCCCAGAAGTGTGTCCGACTTAAGACTTGGCCCTCGTCCTCCCAGTCCTCCTCCTCCCCCTCCCCCTCCCCTGGCCCTGCTCCTTCTGTTGCTCCCCCTCCGCCTCTCGTTCCTATGGCCTTGCTCCTCCTGCTGCCCCCCCACCACCACTTCGCAGGCCCAGATAGTGACACCAACACCAATATCGGCGGTGTGCACCTACCGAGGGAAGAAGATCCAGATCTCGGCGATGGTGGTAATATTCTGGCTTCCAAAGTGACCGAAATATTGCCACCAACACCGAAATTTAGGATCGTCTTCCCCATGTGGAGGCAACCCCCTGTGCTGGTGTTGGTGCCCATTTCTAGGCTTGAGTCGGCCCCGTCCCTCTACAGGAGGAATATTCAAATTTAGTCCACAAATAGTGCGGAGACTATCTTTTGAGTATTTGTTTGACAATTTGGGGGGCATTGTTTTCAGTATTGCTTATTTTTCGTCGAAAATCCCCCTTGTGGGGGGACGCGCTCGAGCTATTCCTCCAACCAGTCGCTCGCCGTCGCGTTTCCTGCGCCCTCGGCCGCGGGCAGAGCGGCGGCCGAGGGCGAGGCCCGCGCAACAAAAAGGGCGCCCGCCATCCCGCAGTGAGCGGCGCCGAGGAGCTGGAGGGGGGCGGGTCGACGGGCTGGCACGTCGTCTTCTGGCAGCGCCTCTCCGCCGTCGTCACGGCCGCCGGGGCCCCCCGTGCAAACTTCGGGCCGGACGAAAGGGGGGGACAGGGAAAGGGGGGGGGTTACGAAATGTGCTGCGTGTAGCTGGTTTGGGCCCCATCGATGGGCCCATTCCTCGATGCATGGCCGCCTCCGGCGCCGGGAGGCGCCGCGAAAATCAGCTATATGTGAGCTGATTCTCACCCCCCCCCTTTGCTATCCCCCCCTTTCGCCCGGCCCGAGCAAACCGCGGGGGGGGGGGCGGCCCCGACGTTCAAGCAGTGGCGAAGCGTCCCGGCTCGCCTCTAGGCCCACCAGAGAATGTTCTAAAAGCCTTTTGTGGTTTCCACGGCATGTTCTTAGAGCATTTCTGGCGGAGCCTGTCTTGTGTTAACACATCGGGTAAGTGTTCTAAGCCCAGTCTTTTAGTTCTCAGAGCATTATTAGGCTCTAAGAACATTTCATGGACTATAGGAATGCCAGGACGGTCGGTCCCTGCTCCAGGGGGGGCGCCCCCGACGTATTTTTCGCGAGCCCCCGACCCTGAGAGCCTGGCGTGGCATTTCTTCCACAGCGGGCGTCTTCGCCAGGCCTCGGGCCTCGGGACCCTCGCAGGCCGATCCGGTTCGAAGAACGAGGCGGGGAGGATGGGGCCCTGGGCTTGCGGTCGCCAGGTCTTGACGATGCTCCGATTTGTTCGCGACGTCGGCTCTCAGGGCAGGGTGGGGGCGCCCAGGAGCCGGCGGCAGCCTCCGAAGGCCCCCCCCCCCGAGCGGGTGGTGCGCCCGGGCCCGCCGGCCTCGGGGCGGCCCCGACTCCGGCGCCGCCGTGCTTCCTGGGCCCGGCATCGTCGGGGGCGGCAAAGAGGGGGGCGGTGACTAGGGGTGGGGGGATAGCATGGCGGGGGCCATGACATTTCCCCAGATCTCGTGGCGCCTCTTCTGATTGCATTGCGTCCCTGGTCCCCCCGCTGGGCCGCACACGTGCCGCCGGTCATGATTTGCACCCCCCCCTCTTGGACGCCCCCCTCTTGGCCGCTCCCAGGATCGCTCGGACGTGTGGATTTTTCTTCGGCAGGAATGATCGAGGAGCCTTCTGCATCATCCTGCGGAGAGGAATTCGCACACAGAGCCGACGGGTGCACGGGGCGCGGGCCGTCCGAGCGATGGCCCAGATGGGCGGCTTCGCAGGCGGGGCGGGAATTCCCGCCCTGCTCTTCAAGCTCACCCTGGTATCAATGTCCAGCCTGATTTGCCGCCGCTGTTTCCACCGGGATTTTTTTCTGAGGTCTCCGCCGTGTTTTTTTTCCTGAGGCGGAAAAGTTGCCGCCTTTTTGTTCGGGACCTTTTGGGGTGCATTTCCGACAACTTTTCAAACCGGAAGATCAACCAAAGTACAGTTCACCCGCATAGTAACGATGAACACATTTTCAAGGTTAATTGCATCTTTCCCTTTCGGCCCATCCTTGGCCGCTTTCGCTGGCCGCGCCACGCTCGCAGAGTGTCGACATGGCCTTCCAAGGCCCTTGCATCCTTATCGTGCGTGTTATGCAGGTTGACTGTACGGCGGGCGCGGACTCAAGCCCTGCAGCACCAATCCTCCCGACCACGGCTGCGTCCGCTCCTCACGTTGGGGTTCCCGTCCGCTCCGCCTCCCCCCCCCCCGCCTCGTCCTCCTTGGGTGATGCCTGAGGTTGCGGGCGCGGCCCTCTACTGGGAGCATGTAAGTATACAGTCAGATCGAGGTGTAAGGTCGAGGTCGGTTCGGGGAGGGTACCCTGATGTTCTTCGTGTTTGTTGGATGTTCTTGTGCATCCTGGGGGAGAGAGCACCCTCGAATAATCTTAGGGTTTGGGGTGCTTTGGCCGGCGGAGGGTCTCATATTCTTGAAGGATGTTTTTCTGGGCCAGAAGGCGACTGGCTTAGACTGTATGTCCTTCTGCGTCCTTCTGGGCCCGAAGGCGACTGGGTTCTTCTGGGCCAGAAGGCGACTGTTCTTCTCGACTGTTCTTCTGGGCCAGAAGACGACTGGAGGATGTTTTTTTTGGCCTAGGTGCGACTGTATGCTAGAGGGCGCCGGGGCTGATGTGCAATGTCTGTCGTGTGAGCGGCAAGCTCGACCGACGGCATGCCCGTACCTTTGAAAAGGGTTCAGGTCATCTCGAGGCCATGGCTACCTCGCAGAGAATCCTCTTGGGCAAGGGCACGTTTCATTGTGGCATGGGACACTATCCTCTGGATCACGTGCGGCTCGTTTGCCGAAGTAGGGGCCCCGGGTCGTCGGTATGATTGTCTCCCTATTTCTCCCTCCTCCTGATCCTGCCTTCTTCATCCTCCCTTCCGCCGTCTCCCTCCTCCATCTCTCCCCCTCACAAATACCTCCCCGTCGCCCCACCACAGCCGCTGGCAGGGTGGGCTGCCCGTTGCAAGATCTCGTCACCACGTGTGTTCCTGAAGTTTGGCTTTTGCAGCGACGACGCGGATGAACATGGCTGGCCATGTTCAGCATATGGCTCTGGAAGGCGGGAGGCACCTTTGGAAGACGACCAGCGCTCCATCCGTAGAACTGCTGGAAGCACGGATGGGGGGCGGCTCATTTTCAAGTTGGGGCCACAGCTTCAGCCTTCTCGGGGCAATGCTGCAGAAGGTAAAGGTGCGGCAGGTGCACGGATGGATGCGCTTTCTTTGTCGCAGCGTTTTTTTTGGTGATTGCAGCGTTCTTTGTCGCAGCGTTCTTTGTCGCAGCGTTTTTTCTGTGTATTGTATCTTGCAGGATTGAGTCACCTTGATATTGAAACGGCGCAGCATTCGCACGGATGGAAGGTGGTTTCTTTGCAGACTGAGGAGGGAGGATGCGGGGTGCAGGCGGGAGGAACGGGGTTGGGAGGGGGGGAGGGGTAGAAGAAGCGAGGAGGAGCTAGGAGAAGGGAGAACGAAGGATGAGGAGGATGGAGAGTGGAGAAGGAGGAGGAGGAGGAGGAGAAGGAGGAGCAAGGAGGAGCTAGGTGGATGGAGGGAGGAGGAGGAGGAGGAGGAGGAGGAGGAGGAAGAGAAGAGAAGAGAAGCAGGAGGATGAGCTAGAAGGATGAAGGGCCTCTCTCCTTCACCTCCACCATCCCTTCCTCTCTCCTTCCTTGTCGTCTCTCCCCCCTCCTCATCTCGATTCCCATTCCTCCTCCATCGTTAACCTCCTCCCTTTCCTCATCCCTCATTATTCTCCCCATCCCTCTGTTCTCCCGCCAACCCAATCACCCCTCCTCGACTCACTGCTTCTTCCGAGGGGTAAGAGCGACTTGCCCGCCACCAGCATCATTATCCCCCCGTCGTCTGTCCTTATCCCCCCATCCTTATCC